ACCCATAATTCTTAGGGCTCAAATATCATGTAAGAATTGATCTAAAACCACAAGCTGCTTTTTTATCTTACAAACCCTGGGAAGTATATTAACAATTGGTTTTGTCTTGTTAAAGTGGCTGCAAAGAAGGTCAGAACCAAATTTGTGACTCTTCCCTAGCAAATGTACAGATCTTAAATTCCTTTTGGTTCTAACCTTCTCTCTCTTGGCTTCAACTTATTCTTCTACCTTCATTTTCCCTTTGCATCAATTTCCTTACTTATTATTTTTTTTTAAAATCTGTTGCACAGTATATATTTAAGCACTTCTACAAGCCAATGCAACCCTATTTTGAATCGGTGCAGAACATAAATAAAACTGTCGCTCACTTAAACAATATTCATTTGCCTTTGAAACCAGCAGAAGAAAAAATGAAAAAGAAAATAAGAATTCGAGCTTAGAAAATTCAAATATACTTTGACAAATTTTTTCAATTATTTTGCCTGTATTATTTTTATAGGAATTATACCCGCCCGTCCCCACCCCCCCAAAAAAAAGGTGACAAAAAAACACAAACCTTCTCCTGGCCCACCACCACCACCTCCTTTTGGGGTAATGAGCTCTCTGCGAAGCTTAGCAAGCCGAGCCTTAAGCAGCCCTAGGTGGTGTGCTGTGGCCTTGTTCCTTTGAGTTCGAGCCATCTATAAAGGAGGAACCATCAATCAGAAGCAGTTTCCACAGGGTAAAAAATTCTGAGAGAATTTTTTCCTCAGTCAGTGTACCCATTTTACTGATTTAAAGAGAGTGTAAATTCACCGACTCCGTCACCCAGCCCATCCCCCTCATAACAGAGCCAACAGTTGAGGCCTAAGGAAAAGAGATAGGACCAAGGTCATTCCACAGACTAAATAAACTAAAACCCACCATCTGCTCCTTGTCTGCTACTTGTATCTCTTATGCCCCATAGCCAACACTTTCCATAGTCTAAAGTGTTCTGAGCCTTCAGACTCTAGAATCACACAATAATCCAGGACTCGACTGCTGCCACATAGATGTCTATTTATTTCCGGATCCCATTTCCAGGAGCAGTAACGTGCGGAAGGGGCTCAGAGGCAGGGGGCGAGGGATGAGGCAGACCGACCCCGAAGCGTGTGAGCTGGTCGAGGCTGCAGTAAAGAGAGACAACGTTGGGACGGGAGGGAAACGCTGAGAGGGGAAACATACTAAGGGTCCCAAGGTTCAGGGGCGCGGAAAGGGGGCCCAGCTGGAAAGGAGTCCAGGAACGCGGGCTCGGGCGGTGAAGAGTCGGGGTATGAGGAACCGGATGAAAGGAGTCGGAGGACAGGAGCCTCAGGTGGAGGGAGTCGGGGCGTGGGGGACCAGGATGGAGTCAGGGGACAGGGGCCCGTCCTGACTTCGCTTAAGGAAAAACAAGCAGAACCACGCCATCGAAAAAGGGACGCTCGGACGTGGAGTGAAGCGCCAGCTGCATCTATTACCTCGGCTTCGATCTCCGCGATCTTGGCTAAGGTGCTACTCATGGTGGCAAGTCCCGGAGAGCAAAGTGGCAGTGGCCGCCACACTGAGGGTCTCTCCTTGCACACACGCCAGCACACCAGCCACCACCTCCGGGCGCCACAGAAGTGCGCAAGCGCGGTACTTCGTCAATCTCGCGAGAAGCCCTCGCGAGACCTACCGCGAGACGAAGAGCTTGGCATGGTCTCCTCCCCCTCAGCCAACCCCGCCCCGTCCCGCGAGCCAACGCGGTGTCATAGAGCCCGCGGGAGCAGGGGCCAGAGAGGCCGCTCGGGTCTGGGCTTCGAGCGCGCCGAGGGTCGCGCGCAGCTCGGCCCCGCCCCGCCCGGCCGGACCTGTGCCCGGCGTCCTGCTGCGTGTCCCGAGCATCTAGAGACTGGGCGCCGCGGCCGTCAGAAACTGGGCATGGATGGGAAATGTACCTTCCTCACGCTCGGTTCTGGGGTCCCTTTTTCAGAGCCGCGGAGACGTCCTCCTCGTCCTTGTGGGTTTGGGTAGAGACCGATCTTCAGCCTGGTTCGCCCTCAGAAAAAGAAAATTCCCCTTTTCCATTAAGCACATTTTTTTAAAACTCTAGTTTTAGGTACCTGTTCTGTTTACCGCCAACCCCAAGTAGCGTGAGTGGCACCTGGGTGAGCCCACAATAAGTATATGCTGAATATATTAATGCATGATATGCATGGATGATTCCCAGAAAACCACTACTTTCAACACAGCTTGTAATACTGAAACACTGGGAACTATGTTAATGACCATTTATAGGGAAATGCATTTTTAAAATGACACTTCCATGAAATAACTACTGTAACCGTTAAAATGTGTGGTCTGAGAAGAATGGGCAGGACATATTGTTGATGAAAACAAGTAGCGCAACTGGACCTACGATGGAATACCATTTATGTCATTTAAAAATATAGATGCCCTTTTAATATGAAAGTGCACTGTTTTAAGATCTACATCAAAGGACATATAACAAACTCTTTACATTGTGATGGAAAATGAGAAGAAAAACCTTAAACTTTTTATTCTATGCAATTCCGTATTTTTGTACAAGATGAATATATCCATGTATTTCTTGTGTGATAATTAAAAAAATTCAAAAGACTCCTCTTCCCCTAGGGTCTTGTGAGGGGGAAGCCAGGACGTCCAGGAGCTGTTTGCTGGTCTAGAGAGCTGCTTCCTGCAGGATGGGTGAATTCTTGTTTATATATTGATTGATCCGTTGGGAGTATGGCTAGCACAGCCATAGCTTAACCCACACAGCTGCCTCCACCCAGTCCTTAGAGGAAAGTTTATTTATTTAACTTTGCAAGTAAGAACAATTCCAAGTTGCCAGAAACAGAAAAGGGAGGTTTTATCAGGCAAAAGGGAGAGAATGGGGTGAGGAATGCTTTTACAGAAGGTTCCTAAAGGACACAAGAGTTTCATTCTTTAACCTCAGCCTTTTCATAAATAAATTAAGGGGTGATGAGGTAATTAGATCCCACATCATCAGTAATGGAGGAGGGAAGAAGAGGAGAGGAATTCCAGCTGGAATGGGATCTGATCAAAGATCAGTCTTAAAGGGCAGATAAAATCAAATCAGCAGGCCTTTCCTAACTTGGAGCACTTACAGAATTGGCTGAGTGTAGTTGGAGCATCACTGCTCTGTGAGTAGGATCCCCTTAGCAAATCTGTTACGTGAGGCCTGCAGCTAAATTAACCTCTTGATCCCTCAAATACAGCCCAGGACCCAAGCTATCAATTGTACGACCAAGAGTAATGTTCATTTTCCCCAAGGCCCTAAGTGGCCATCCTGTTCACTCAACGAATATTTTTACTGCTGCCAGGCCCTGTACTAGTGCTGGGAACCTAGCAGGGAGGGATTCAGACACAGTCCCTGAGCTTACTGTCCACTTGGGGAGGCCATGACCAGGCTCTTAAATTCAACTCATAAGGAGCCAAAGCTAAGCCCGAACTCCTTGGTAGCAATCACAACCAAAACCAAAAAAACCAAAGCCACAGTCATCAAGCTGATTCCGACTCAAAGCAGCCCTTTAGGACAGAGTGGAGAAGCCGCACAAAGTCTCCAAGGCTGTAAATCTTCACGGAAGCAGGCTGCTTCATCTTTCTCCCACAGAGCGGCTGGTGGGTTCAAACCACAGCAGAATGCTTTAACCACTACGCCACCAATCATAAACGAGGGTTTTTCCATATGTCTAAACCACTAATGCCTTGGCACTGTATTTCTAAAACAAAATTAAGATCAAGAAAATCTCCGTCTCTTGCCAGGATATTCCAACCATTCTGAAATAATTGTGCTGCTTCAAACAGACAGGATTTCTTTGGCCCTTGCTGTTTTTCGGTTTACTGTGCTCTTCCCCTACCGTGAGCTCCCACCACCCACATCTTCCTCACCCTTATTGTCTCTCTAAGAAACTTTAATAATCCAAGACAGAGTATCCCTGCCTCTGGCCTCCCCAGTCCCCAGTCCCCACTCCTTGCCCCATCTGAGCACCCTACGTTTTGTCAGCTACAGCAAACTCTTCAAACATGCTTATTAAGCAAATGGAAATATAAAGATGGAAAATTTTAAAATAATAATAAAAGGAAAAGCAGAAAAGGTATTTAGATGTTTTTCTAAATGAGCATTTATAATATTTTCTAAATAAGCATTTATAATTTATGTTAAAAATAATCAAAACTCAATGAAATTTGAACATAAGGTTTATTCTGAGCAGTTATTCCACATGCATATACCTAACCTACCACCACCGAGTTGATTCCAACTCACAGAGACCCCCCCTTGGGTTTCCAAGGCAGCAAATCTTTTTTTTTATTTTTTTTGTTAATTGTGATTTGGGTGAAAATTTACAGAGCAAATTCACTTTCCATACAATAGTCCACATACACTTTGTCTCATGACATTGACTATAATTTCCCACAATGCAACAGGTCCCCTCCCACTTCCTTCCGATAGTTACCTCTTCCCTGTGTCCATCCCTCCATGCACTTCTGCCCCCTGAGCTGTCTCCCTGTGCATAAACTGCCCTTCTTTCTCCCATGATTGTTCTCTCCAAGGAGTGTATCTACCTCAGGTTAAATGTTCAGCTCATATGCAAGGCAGCAAATCTTTATGAAAGTAGATTGCCTCATCTTCCTCTTGCAGAGCTGCTGGTGGGTTTGAACCGCTAACCTTCTGGCTAGCAGCCAAATGCCTTACCAACTATGCCACCAGAGCTCCTTACATACATATAGCGAGACCATTTTAATTCCAGAAAAACCAGATGGCTTGAAGAAGTTAGGTACAATAAGGCTCATAAAGAGAAGAGGAAGAAGAAATATAGATCAACTAGTGACTAACCTTAACACAATTCATTGAACCCTGCCCTCCCCCCTTTACTGAGATCAACTGATAGCAGATCACACCTAGCCATCTCTTGAAATTCAGATTCAGCAAACTGGCTTTGAACCGGAAAGAAAAGATTTGCAATTTTGGACAAGAGAAAAACCACTGGTGGATTAATTTTGGTCAGCTGTTTCTTGAAAGTGACATTTTGGTTTCATGGGTAAGAAAACTCCAAAACCAAAGCAAGACATCTGCTGTCATTTTCTCTCTTTGACACTTATTATAGGCATCTGCGTGGAGGCATTGGTGGTTCAGTGGTAGAATTCTCACCTTCCAAGGTGGGGAGCTGGGTTTGATTCCTGGCCAATCCACCTCATGTGCAGCCACCGCTCATCTGGCAGTGGTGGCTTGCTTGTTGCGATGACACTCAATAGGTTTCAGCAGAGCTTTCAGACTAAGGTGGACTGAGACAAAAGGCCTGATGAACTACTTCTGAAAATCAGTGAGTGGAAACCCTATGGATCACAATGGTTTGATCTACAGTTAATCACGGGAATGGTGCACGGCTGGGCAGCGTTTCATTCCATAGCACGTGGAGTCATCCTGAGTTGGTGACCGAATAAATACTAATAAATACTGCTAAATACCTGGATCTGCTTGATGGAGTGAGAAATAACAGGATAATAATCATGAAAAATCCGTGTTAACAACTGAACCCGACACACGGAGTTTTCATGATTATTATTCTGTTATTTCTCACTCCATCAAGCAGACCCAGGTATTTAGCTCTCAATTATGAAGATATCTGTTGTGTCGTTAACTGCCCTTGAGTCAGTCTCCAACTCATGATGACTCCACGCGTTATGGGAGGAATTGCTGCCCAGCCGTGCACCATCCCCATGATTAACTGTAGATCAAACCATTGTGATCCATAAGATTTCCACTGGCTGATTTTCAGACAATGACAGAGAATAAGGAAAAGTCCGTGAAACATCTTATAACATGGACGAATCTGGTGGACATTATGCTGAGTGAAGTCAGTCAATCACAAAAAGACAAATACTGTATGATACCACTTTTATAAAAAATTAAGAAAAAGTTTGCTTATGTTGTTGTTGTTATGTGCCGTTGAGTCAGACCCAACTCATAGCGACCTCTCCTTGGGTTTCCGAGGCAGTATCACTACAGAAGTAGATTGCCCCATCTTCCTTCTGAGGAGTGGCT